GGTTAGGGTGGATTGGCCGTGGGAAATTGTCCCATAGTGCCCAGGGACGTGCAGGTTAGGCTGGATTGGCCAATGGGAACTGCAGGTTTACAGGGATAGAATGGATCTGGGTGGGATGCTCTTCAGAGGGTCGATGCAGGCTCGATGGGCTGAATGGCCTGCTACCACACTGTAGGGATGCTATAGGGACACCCTATTCCAGACAACACTGGTCAGTTGCTTACCGTGTTACCCATGCAGTATAACTACTGTTGAAATGCGGCATTCTTGCAATTGTGCCCTGATATGCATCAGAGTCGACCAGGCGGGGGGCGGGGTGCGGAAACTTGGACCATTTGGAGCAGCCTCTGGCATTTGGTCAGATTTTGTAGCTCTCACTTCAGATTGTTAAACGGTCATTGAACAAACCTCCCTCATGTTGGAATGCAGCATTCTTGCGATGGTGTCCTGATGGGGCACGTGGTTGTTTTTTCTGCTCTCTCTCTGTCATTTGCCCAGCCCTGGGGTCCGAACTCCCAGGTTTGTTGTGAGAATGCTCCGGCAGTGGAGGACCTTACCTCTCTCAGTTCGGTCACCCACCCGTCATCATTCACCTCGGGTTGGAATGGGGCATTATTGCAATGGTGTCCTGATGGGCGCTGGGAAGGTGATGATTCTCCAACATGGATGGACCTCATCTCCATCTCAGTCCAGTTCGGTCACCGGCCTGTGCTTTTCTACCCCTACAGTGTGAACCGTCCATCAACCCCGCCAACCCTGCTAACCCCACTTCATGTTGGGGTTGTGGCATTCTTGGGATGGTGTCCTGACCCCATCCTTCTCATTAATTTGTTTTTCTTTCCCTCCTTTCACCCAGGCCTGGCAGGGCTATTAGGGGACCTATCCTTTCTCCCAACACCACTGAGAACTGAGACCAATCTCTGACATTGTGCTATCCCCTTATCTGAAGGAATGGCCTCCTTCATTCTTTTTGCTGGTTGGGTGGGGGATGGGAGAGAGGGATCGCTCTGCGCAGGTCCAGTGCCGGCGGTACAGCTCCGCGCAGCCGCAATAAGCGTAGGCTGTTGGGGTAATACTGGGGCGGAGCCCGGAGGCCGCCGCTAATGCGCAGGCTCGCAGCCGGCATTCACCTTAGGTGGGTTTGCGGAGGGCAACGGCGCCTGCGCAGGAGCGCTGTTTGCTTCGGGGTGAGTGTCACGTGATGGACGGACGAAGTTGACGTCACTGCGCAGCCGCGACGGGACAGCGCGTTGTGGGGCCGGGGCTTGGTTCGAACGGCGGGAAGGGGATGTGTTCGCGCAGCCGCAGTGGGAGGGACAATGTCGGGGCGTGGGGAAGAGACGGGCTGGCGCAGCCGCAATGAGACACAGCTACGTTCCTAAAGGAGGACAGCCGTGGGCGCGCAGCCGCAGTGACGACGAATGCCGGCGGCGCCAGCAGGGCGCAGGCGCGGTGAGACTTCCCTTTGTGGGGGTGGTGCAGGAAGTGGGCGGGATCGGGGAACGTCCCGCGCCGGCAGCCAGCGCAGCCGCAGTCAGAGGAGGGCGAGAGCAGAGACGGGAGGGGCGCAGCCGCAGTGTGCCAGCCCCTCATCCCCGCCGGGCCGGCGCAGCCGCGGTGAGGGCGAGTGCCGGGAGGGCGCAGCCGCGGTGAGGGTTTTTTGGGGTGGGGGGAGGGGCGGTCTTTGTGAGTCCGCCATTTGCAGCGAAGCGCCATCCCCCCCCACACCACCTTCCCAGGACCACATCATATCGCGGGCCCCACTTTCGTTCAGTTTTCCCCTTCCCCGTCCCTGGTTCCGGGTCTCTCTCCGTGTCTCCCTCCGTTTGAAGGTTAAACCTCCCGCCTCCACCCCCCCCACCTCGCCGCTCTCGGAGAAAACACCGAAAACCGTGAGGTTCAGAAGCAGGTAAAGGGGAGGGGGGGGG